AAGAAAAACCTCATCAAAAATGAGGTCCACACTATTATATATATATATATATTATATATATATAAAAGATATTTGGGTGGTATAAACGTAAAAAAATAAAGATCTTCAACAAGATAGAAATGACCCCTTTTATTTTTCTTTTGCCCATAAGAAGTGTGATGACATGTTGTTCGTGAAGGAGAGCCACACACTTCATACTCAAGTTTCACTAATGATAAAACAAAATCAATCAAGTGCTCGTTGGGCTTTTGTTGGGCTAACATTAGATCACCATTGGTGACTCGTTGCTGAGATTCGGTAAATCATTTCAGAAACAATCCTCTAGTTTGGTAAAAGTTCTGAAGGTGTCATTTGATAAACCGACATACCATTCAAAAGTAAATCTGCCCAAACAAGTACAAAAATGCCAAGAAGTGCATCGTTATTATTGATGTTGCAACACAATGCACGAAACCTGATAATATGTTGTCAGAGGTTTCCATCCCCATCAAACTATTTGAAATACGGAGGGACAAACCCCAGATGATACAATATATACTTTTATGCCTCGGGATAGGGTCGACCTCTACACACTATGAACTACCCTTGCTGAGCTGCTAAGGAGACCTTAACTTTTGGATCTACCAAAGACTGTAAATGTGAGTCAGAAGGTGCCTGCTCATGCTGTGCAACAGCAGAGGAAGTAGCATGAACATGTCTTGCATGTTTAGACAGTACAACAAACATCACCAAGCATGTCTCTACCTGCATCAAAGGTGAGACTACAACAGACCCAGCCCGGTCAGCCTATAACGCAATGATCTGGGTAGTGAGAATTGTTATTTGGCCCTGTATAACAGTGATAGTCTCCTCAAAAGTAGGACCCCCTTGATCGATCATAGGGACATCTTGAGCCTCTGGAGACTCGTGATGGTAAGCCACATCGAGATCAAGTGGTGGGTTATCAGAAGAGGATCTGTTACCATGAGTCGTCACTACTATGACACAACAGATTTTCATCTCAAGATCATGAAAATCCTTACCGAGGATGTCGTCGAGAACATTAGGAAGTTTGCCGGACAGGTCCTCCCAGGATCGAACTCTGGCACACCCTCGGAGTTAACTTGAGGTAGCTTTAAGCTAAGATCAATTGAAGGGAAAAGTTGCTCCCGAATCGGAACACTAGCCTCCAAAATTGGAGAAAAAACCACAAGAGGGGCGACGGTGGAATCCTTATGGACCCACTCTTGGCGGGGATAGCCCTCTCTCCGGTATGAATGAGAGGAGTATCAACGGAGATGCACACTGAATCTCACCTCGCTACCAAAATCACTATGACATAATATTTATTCAAAGTAAGAGAACAATAAGCAAAATGATCCTTCTTTTTATTATTGTCAATAGAAGGTGGTAGAATAAGACTTGCAACTTGTGCTACTATAGAAGTAATAGTGAATGGAACATAACCAAGCTTTGGAACATCCCCATCAAGCTCCATATATAGAGCCTCTCGGAACTTTTGTACAAGCTCAACAACCACAGAGCATAAGTACCTCGGTTTCACAGTGAACCGACGGGTGGACCACTGTCTCTTACTATGAGGATGTCGCGGGTGAGGAACATAGAGGAGCTATTCAATGTCCCATTCAGATGTCTCAGAGATCTGAGCTAGAAGTCATGCCAGAATGATGAGCCAGTGTCATGAGGCTGTGTGCACCTTCTAAAAATTCTAGCGAGGATGTGGTCCACCCAACCAAAAAGAACCATGAACTGATTCTCAACCAAGGGAATTAGAGACTCCACCCGGACCGATACTAAAACAATAGAAGGACCTGCTGTTAGGTGTGCAACAACCTATTCCTGGTCCTCCAGGCCCTCTTGCTCAGTCTCATAGTAAGAGTAGCCTCAAGGGGACCTAGAGCAACAAACACCAGATCTGCAATAGCGACCAAAGTAATTACAATAGTGCTGTAAGAACACTTACCTATCAAAGATTGGAAGAGCCATGAAAACAAGGTGGAACAACCCGACAGCCTGGAAAAAAACTGAGGGGTACTGCGACACATTACTATTGGGAGTCAGCCTTTTCCTTACAGAAGAGGTAGGCTCGACAAGAGCTATTACTGTGGAGATAGCTCGATGCGCTCGACTCCCCTTTAAAGGGGGAAAGCGTAGAGTAGATGCCTCAGTGGGCGTAGGACTACCTATGGTAATCTGTACAAGGTGCTCAGAGGAACCAAAGGTTATGACACCCTTATGATCACAGAAAACGCTCGGGTAGAAGGAAACAGAGGCCCCCCCAACAGTGGCAATCGTGACCACCTTATCGTTCGTCATGTCTGCAAAGCAAAAAGATATGAAGTTCACAAAGACAAAATGGTCTAAGAAAACTAATCAAAGAAAAGTAAAATGACATCGATGCACACGAAAATGCTTCAACTGAACTATTGAGAGTAAGGATACAAGAAGGGATGGAATTGCAACAAGTTGCTAACTATAGCACCTGATGCATGAATCTAAAGTTCAAAGTCTAATAGACACAACATATGACACTATGACAAAAAGGAAGCTACGTCACTAGAAATGTAAGCAGAACCCCTGGGAGGGAGAGGGTGCACTACTCCTAGCAACTCCACAAGTCTATGAACTCGCTGGGACCTGCAGAATAGGCAAACACAACTCCGTAGGTAGAAAGAGAGAGAATCTTCCTCACAAAAGTTTCTAATCTTGTGAATACACTAGAATATGCAAGAAGCGAGCAAAACTCTCATGGTGAAGAGAAATATTCATCCCCAACGGAGTCACTATTCTATTTTCGTTCTTTTTTGTTTTTTATTCTTAAAGGAGTCGTTAATTTGTCCATCATCGTTTACTTCATTTTTTTTTAATAAATCTCTCTTCCAAACCATATGAATAATCAGGAGAAAAGAGGAAGTGGAATAAACAGACATACGAACAAGAGAAATAATGTAGAGAGCCTACGTGCGATAAACCTCGCAAGGATATATCAAGTATATCTGCCTAAATAAGATTGGGTGGAAGCACCTTGAACCACTATCTATGAAATAATACCTACGTAGACTGCACACAGCTAAAGATTCAGGTGCATTTTTCTATTTTTGGGTCTAGAGTGCTCCCAAAAGGATGTATCACACTTAGTTAATTACATCTTTGTGATTTCCTAAGAATACTCTTAATTCAAAGGAATTTGATTACATTAGTATTGACGACTAACACATGCACACAAAAAAGTTAAAGACTCGACCTGCATGAAATTAATGTTAGTGGGAAGGTCAACGAACATGCGACGTATAGTGAGTTGTGCCTTTTATACGAGGGAGCTAAATGACATCTGCAAGCAAAATGTTAGAAATCATTACGTGCTCCCCCTTCATGGTACTTGTGCGTGTGCATATGTATAGGCACAACTTTCTGTGGAAGGACGCTTAATATACTACCATGCATATCAAGCACACGGGCACACAAAAAAGCACAAAAGAGAGGCATGACAAGCACAAGCAAACCAATAAAGAATAATAGATAGAGGCTAAAAAAAAACTACTTAGCATTCTGAATTCTAGTGTAACACACCATCTAATGTGAAGTATCCTAACTAGTATCAAATGCAGGATAAGTCTTCTGATGTGTATGACTTTGACGGGGATGCGCATCGGTCGGTCCTAAGGATCTAAGAGATTTAATCCAAGATGGATTTTTGAAAAGAGTTGGTCTTACATACGACCTTGTTTGTTACATGCATAATTTCAAAATTATGGCAGATGTAGTTAGATCCATTAAATACGAATATGTGACATGCAATATAACGCAAGTTAGATCCATTGAATCCTTAGCACAGTCATACTTGTGTCGATCCTGGTGTTTTAACTTGCTTTGCTCACCGGGATCGACCAGGCAAGCAATGTTCAAACACTACTAGCAAGCTTTAGAGGTTGAATTAATGAAAAGAATAAAAATATTAAAAGTGTTTCAGGTATTCTATACAAAGTTTAGGGAGTTGTATATGCCTTTTTCTTAAATGCCCTTGCTTTACAAAATAAAAATGTTTTAAGTGCTAGAAATGAAACAAATAATTATATATGATGTTGGTTAAAAACACATGAACATAATAATCAGGACTTCATAGAGTGTAATAGCCCCCTCCACATTCTTTTGGGCCCCTGCTATCTAACTGGTGAGCTCACTAAGGAGTGAACGAGTCTGCTTTGCTGAATAAGTCTCTATAGTCCACCTCTATTTTTTATTGATTTTTGTTTTATTTATGAGGCCCATTTTTATAATTTAGTTCGAGCTCATACTTAGGTCCAGAGTAATGACTTTGAAGCTAGAATGGAAGCATTTGAGTTAGGTGTGCTATTGAGTCTTGGGTGAGTGCTGTAGGGCCTTAGGTGACTGCCTCTTGAGTCTAGGCGAGCGCCAATGTGCCATTAGGCTTCTGTCAAATGTAACCCTTGATTTCGATGTATTTTCGCTATCTTCTTAAAGTTCATGCTTTTGATGCACATAAATAACTTTATACAATATAGCTACAATGTTTCTATATTTTTATCAATTAATACTCAAAAAGTAATTTTAAGAAGGAAGATTCATATGCAATCTCTTAATTCCCATGAATTTACATATTCATATTGAGCACCTAAAATTTAATTTTTATATATATATATATATATATCATCTTATTTATGCATGAAAATGTGTATTTCACATTTTAAAAGTTAAAATAATGATATTTTTGATGTGATACGAGATTTGGGTGGCATAAATATAAAGATTCAAATTTAGACGTTAGATATGTACATGGAAATGTTGCTAATTTTTTTTTTCGAATTATGTAAATTTAAATAAATTTAAAAGAAAGACAAATTCAAATAAATATAAAAAATTTATATGATAACTACCAGCATAATTAGAACTACATTCGCACCGGCATTCCGAGCGCTCGATCGTTGGGACCTAAATACGTGGAACTCCGTGGGAACAGACGCGGGCTATTGGCAGACATTTTTTTTTAATCTCTCTCTAGGAAGTTTTGACTGTCGATGCCCAAAATTCTGGAATTTACCATTTCATTTCTTGTCCGGCGAGCAACTTGGCTCGAATGCTATGGCGCCTCACGGATGATATATCCTTGGGAGCCAAAACGGAAACGACGTGCTCTGAAGGAGAAGCTGTTCACAAAGCTCTCGAACTCCCAATTCTCTTATCACTCATAACCCTAACCGCACTTCGATATCTACATAGCTGCGCCAATGGAGAAGGAGATAAGATTGCTCTCTCAAGTTGCTGCGAACCATCTTTTTCTCGGGCAGTTCGAAGCCCTTAGAGCCAACCTGCTCAGCCTCAAGAAGCGAAAGCCGGTGCTGGCTTTGGAGATCCTCCGAAAGATCATATCAGAAGGAGGAAGAATCGATGGCATCCTGTGGTCGAGTACAGCTATGTCTTCCTCGGATCTTGCGTGGCTCTGCATCCTCGAGCTCCCCAACTTCGACAGAACAACCTCAGTCTGGAGCTTCGATGCGGAGCTTCTACGTTTGAAGGCGGAGTTCATTCTCCTCATAGAAATAATCTCTTCCACAGCGTTGGGAAGCTCACACCGTTGGCCCTCCGACGCAGAAGATGGATTTATAGGGCATATTTCTGAAAGGGACAGAGAATCGTTAGATATTATGAAAAAATGGATGCATTTGGGTCTGAGAAGATTGAAGAGTGAGGCTGACTATGGCTCTCTGTCATCCGATGAAGTTGCTCAGACCAGACAGGTTGATTTGAACTGCTTGTGGAAGATATTTCTCGACAATGCTGATATTTTTAGCTCTCTTTGCTGGAACATTCAGAGACAACTTCACTGGTTTGAAGCTTATGAGCCACAATTGGCAATTAGTGTGAGAACTGAAGATGATCAGTGTTTAACTTCATCCCAACAGGAGGTGGATACTCTTTCTGGGATACAAAAAGAAGTTCAGATGGCACATTTGGCTGCCTTAAGGGAAGATGCTAAAACAGGCGACATACTTGAAACTTTCTACCATATTCGGTTTCTTCATCTGGATTATGGTATACCAGAGACTGAGTACAAGTAAGTCTTTTGTTCACCCACCCCTCCTTAATAAAGCAATGTGTTTTTGCCACTGATAATGTAGCCTATTGTTTTTCTGCAAGCCGTTGAACTGCAGATGTCAAAATAAGTTGTCTGTGTGTGTCATTAGACTTGGGACAACCCTTTTATTGTGTTCATCCATATTTTACATTCATTGTTATTTGTTATCATCTGCATTTTACTTTAGCTAAATCTATACTGATGGCTTATAACAATTGTGCATTGATTCTATTCTTCCTTTTTTTTAGGAGCAATTCTGTTGATTTTCAAAATTATTTTTAATTATTTTATTGATATGAAAATGGGGTATAATTACCCTTACATAAATCTTAGAATAGGAAATAAAAGAAAAATGAAATAGCATGAAAGGAAACTTTCATCTCTAATTAATTACTTCATAATAATAAAAGAAATGACATAAAATAAGAAAGCCTAAAATAGGAAAATAAATAAATCCAATCCAAGGATATAAATTTAATCATCATAACTTTTAACAAGAATAATTATTTCTTAATATAACTTCTAACACTCCCCCTCAAATTGAAATATGGTTGACAATTTTTAATTTAGATTTGAAAATATCAAACAACCGGCAAAGAAGATTCTTTGTGAGGTAGAACTTGAAGTCTTCATCCTGTACTGATTAATCAACCACAAGAGCATTTAGAGATATTTTAGGTGGCTGCGATTGCTTTTGACTGCAATTTCTACAGTGGTTGAAGGAAGACGAAAGATCTTTACATGTAATGTTGCAGGGAAGCAGACAACCTACAAGAAAAGATGTAGGGCATGGTTTATAAGGAAAAAAACTCCAGAGAGGTGTCTACTGTAGGAAAAAGCTACGGAGGAGGGCCTAGTGTAGGAAAAAGCTTTGGAAGAGAGTTTGATGTAAGAACAATCTCTAAGGGCGGTCTGTTGCAAGAAAAAGCTTCGGAGGAAGGCCTGCAACAGGGAAAAGCCCCAGAGGATGGCTAGTTGCAGGGAAAATCTCTGGAGGAATGTTTGTTGCAGGTAAAAAGCTCCAGAGGTAGGGTTGCGGTAGGAAAAAGTTTCGGAAAAGGGTCTGCTGCATAATAAAATTTCATAAGAGGGTCTGCTGTAGGTGAAAAAGAAATAACACCTGACAGTGATTTTCTTTCTTGAGTTTCCAAGCATACACCGCTGCCTGTTGAGATGTGGCTCATCTTAACGAAAAGCTCAACTCTCTCCATGACAGTGATTTATCGCCATCGCTGATGATGGTTGTGACTTCTTTTCCACTACGCTCGACCAATTTCTAGGCGTTGACATCTGTTCTAAAAGCGAACATCTCAAACTCAAAGACACCCATGGGCCCATTCCAGATAATGCTGCTAGTGTGCGTTGAATGTCTCAGTGGAATATGGTCCAATGTCAGGGCCCATCCAACCATCAGGGACGACAGATGCTGGCACAATCTTTTTGTCAACATCAGCTGCAAACTTGTCTACCACAATGACATTAGAGGGTGTCAAGAGTTTCACTCCTTTCAGTTTTGCCTTCTCAATAAGAGCTATTACTAGACCAAGTTTGTCTTTCTCAACAAGTCCTTGTGCCTTGTACAATGTGAAAATCATTCCTCCTCCAAGAAGAAGGATATAAACTCTCTCTAAGAGCGACTCCATCACCCCAATTTCTGCTGAAACTTTTGAACCACCAAGAATGGCCACTTTGGATTTGCAACAATCCAGACAAGATAGTCAAGTTCCTTCTGCATGAGGAAGCCGACAACAACGGGTTTTAATTACTTTGTAACACCCTCTGTTGAAGCATGAGCTCTGTGAGCAATTCCAAAGGCATCATAACATAGAGATAAACCAGAGAATCATGTTTCTTTGCAAACTTTGGATCATTCTTCTCTTCTTCCTTATATAATTTTACATTCTCAAGGAGGACGACACCTCCATCAGGTAATGCAACGATGATTTTCTCCATTTCCTCGCCAAAGGAATCATTGTCCATATCAACGTTAACTCCATGAAGTTCTGATATCCTAGGCATGAGAAGCTTCAAACTGTATTTCAGAGTCACCTTTTAGGGTGGCCTAGATGACTGCAGAGAATGACCTTGGCTCCGTGCCCTCTCGAGTAATGGAAGGTAGGAACGACAACTCGAATCCTGGTATTGTCGGTGATCTTGAGGCTGTCATCGGGAGGAACGTTCAAATCTACCCTATCGAACACCGTCTTCTCTATCAGATCTGCGCCCTTCAGATAGCTAACACTCCTCTTGGTTGCCATTATTAACTCTCTAAAACATGAATCCAACTGGAAGAAGATAGAGAAGTAAATCAAGGCTTGGGTTGCAAGAATTTTAGCGCCGACAAGAAGGAGATCTAGATGTAGTGGAAAGACTGCAGGAAGATGCATTTCTATTAAGGAAGCCTGCAGGAATTTGCGGCATGCAGGAAGTTTTCTAGTGGGCAGAGAGGATTTCCTGCTGCTTGAGGGAATTTCGACGGCAGGAAAGGTTGCAGGAAGAATTTCAGGGGCGGGAAATGTTGCAGGTGGAAATTCCAGCGATGGAAAAAACTGAAAAAGAGGAGGAAGGGCCTATAGCACAACAAAGATTGTCGACTGCAGGGATGTGGGAGACTCTAGAATTTGTTTCAAGGCTTTGATATCATGTTGATTTTCAGAATTACGTAAAATTATTTTATTGATATGAAAATGAGTATAAATACTTTTACGTGAATCCTAGAATAAAAATGTCACGAGAAAGAAAATAAAATTAAAGGAAAGATATAATGCTTATATCTCCAATTAATTAATTTATAGTAATTATTTGGAGATAAAGAAAACAACATAAAATAGAAAAGCCTAAAATAAGAAAGGAAGTAAATCTAATCCAAGGAAATCAATCTAGTATTCATAACTTTTAATAAGAATAAATTTTTTCCTAATATAATATTTAACAAATTTTGTTGGTGCCATATGGGTATTTTCATTATATGTTGTACATGTAGCAAAACATGGCAACTATTTGTTATTGCCTTCAAGTGTTTATTGACTTGATCCACATTTTGTCTTTACTATTTATTCTTTACTATGGCCGTGTTTTCCACCTTTAATTTACTTTCTTTCTTTGATCAATTTTAAATACTAGTATCAATTGTTGCTCATGTTGATGGTTGAAGTAGTGTTTGATCTATGATTCTAGTGATGGGGTATTTCTTGGTGTGAAACAACATTATAGGCTTTGTGCTATGCATGCATTTGAATCATGGTATGTGCTTGCATGCATTTGATCTATGATTCTAGTGATGGGGCATTTGAATCATGGTATGTGCTATGCATGTTTGCAAATTTTCTTCTTGGAAGTCCTCTCCCAAAAAACTAAAAAATAGATAGTGATTTTGTAAATTTGGACTTCATCATGTCAGGAGTGTGAAATCAATGGTATCAAAGTTGAGTATGATACATTGGTCGGCAAATATTTTTAAATCAAAAGTTTAAGCCTATAATTGAGGGACAAACTCATGTATTTCTTTATTAAAATAATATTTACTTAATTAAAATAATTTCATCTATGTAATGTGGGACCAAATCTTATGCTATAATTTTCTTGGCAATCTTATCCTCGGTTGACCATCCTAAACATCAATAATCACTCCCCTTTAAACATAAAAATTTCAAATTATCATCTTGTATCATCATTGAGAGTTTATTCAACCATGTCTTGAACTTTGCTTCACCACGATTGAAATCCTATAAACCCATCGAAGCCATAAAATGTTGAAAAAAATCTATCCAAGCAAAGACTTAAGCTCTAATACAACTTTTGGGGGAATGGATCAAAGAGGGACCAAAGATTGGCCCAATACATTACTGATAAACTCCATTTTACCCGTTACTCACTACTTAATATTGAGAGCCGAACATAGTATTGACATTCCAAACATTTTTTTTTCACTAATTTGATGCCACTAATCCTAAGACTCACATGCTTTAAAAAATCAAAATATAACAAACCTATGAGTGCAATTTTAAGGTTGATTCAAGGCCGTACTTCATAGAATATCCACTATTTGCATATCAATGATGTCTTTATTTGTAATTTATGGTTTGTCATTCATTTATTTATTTTCATTAATTCTTATTATGCCAATTTTATGTGATATTGTTTTATTTGATCTTGAGTTGTGTCTTTATTTTTGCTAAGGGGCTGTTTAGGATTACGTCGCTTTTTATATTTATTTTTGTTTTTACTTTTATTTTAAAAAAAGTATTTTTCATATGTTTTTATTTCTTTTTTAAGAACAAATCAACTTATTTTTAAAAACACCCAAAATATTTAAAGGTTAATTTGATTGTTTTTAAAAACAACTAAACAAATAATTAGTTCTTTTTAAATTAAAACATAAAAAAAATAAATAAAGAAATTGGAAAACAAAAAAAAAAAATAAAGTGATTGCAAACTATGCCCCTAAATTACCTATTTTTTAAAGTAGTGCTTTGAGTAATTTAACTAATAATGCTGGAAATATTATTCAAAAATGAGTGTCTAAGATGCTTGTCTGTACGATGGCTGTTTTCTCTTTTCCTTGCTTGGTTTCTGTCTCAAGATCTTTGCTTACGTGCTCAACTATCTCTAGCTATGATGTGTGATTTTGCTTATTCCCTTCTCCGTCTTTTGCCTTCTCTTTATGCATTTTCTTATATTATTCTTTTATTACAATCAAGAAAGTCTAAGATAAGTTTCCATTTTGCTCAAAATCACTGGGAAAAGGACCCACTTTGAAGTTCAAATATATGAAAACCATGTGCAACGAAATCCATGCTAACGTTCAACTAAATATTTAAAACTAATTGCAAGGAATTGTAACTGGATTATTGATTAAGGATCTCCATTTAGAAAAAAAGTGTACATGTATGTTTTTTGCTATCAAGCTGAGTTTGACAGGGTTTAGCTTACCTAGAAATTTAAAACATCGTGTCTAGGTTGACTCAAAATTAAAGTCGATTTGGGTTGAGTTGATTTGGAACTAATATTGTGCTGACTCAAAATTGAAGTTGTACTAGTAATTTAAGATTTTGTTTAAATTCACCCCCATTTAAATTATACTAAAAATTTAGCAAAACAGGAATAAATCCTGAAATCTCTAAAAGTACTAGAAATTATCTATTTTTTTCTTGCATAACATCAGCTCTATCATCTAAAGGTTTAAATAGTTTGCTCACCCTGCATACAGGTGGAACTCATCGATTGTTTTGAATTTTTAACTTCTTTGCTTCACAGTGATAGAAATTCTCCTGCTTAGGATGCAACACAAGAAAGTAAAAAGAAAAAAAATTAATTAAACACTCTTCTTGAGTGTACTCTTTTCTATAGTAGGAAGAAATAAGTTGAAATTATAATACTCTGTTTGCAACATCTTTTCTCTTAAATTTTGAAGGTACACATTTAGGCATTCATTTCTAAATTGAATTTCATGAAATATAGCATGACATTTATGCCTGAAAGATAAAAGAAAATTCATTAATACAACTAGATAAAGTAATGCAAAGATATATATGGATACAGCTTATAGGCATAAAAGAATATTTGGCAAAAAAAATTAAGGCATTTGCTGATCTTGTTTGTAATCATCCATGCAAATATATTAGGCCCAATCCCTATGTATGCATTTATATTGTTCATTATATAGTTAGCTTTTCTCTTATTTATATTGTTCATTATCTGGTTAGCCATCTGTAGGAACAAATAAGTAGTAGTTCTCCTGCTTAGGATGCAACATGAAATTATGGCCATAATTTCATGTCTGAATTCAAGTTTTTCTTTAGAAATATCTTCTTCTGCAGGAATAATTGCATTTTTGTAGTACTTCATGTTTGAATTGCTGTTTTAATTGCATTTTTGTAGATCAAATTTGCAAGATGTCATCAGGAAGGTTTGGTCGCTAAATTTAAATTATGGTGAAGATTGGAAGAAGTCACGCGATAAAATGGCATTGCTTTATGTCGAAGCTTTATCATCAAATTGCATCGAACTTGTGAATTTAATTCAGGTGATGAATATGGAAGATCATATTATCGATTTAATTTCAAGCTTTGTTTCCTTTAATCGTATTGTAGTAAAATTTCTGTACCTTTTTTTTGCAATTTTTCTGCTCTCATATAGTACTTTTTTGTAATGTTTTATTAAAACTTTAATTTATATGGTTTCATTCACGAGTTTCTACAATTAAATGTGTGAATGATCACATGACTGCTTTGGAAAGATTATTCAACTTTTTAATAATTCTTGTTAGGGAACTGATCGATTTTGAAATCATCTGAATTCAATCCACCCCTAAAGACTTGAATATCTGCTTTCTTCCCATTTGCCATGATACCTCCTTGGTTCCATTTATTGGGAACATTTAATAATTTGTTATCTTTGGATGATTTTTAGAACACTTGACCCAAAGGTTTTTTTTCACTTCGCATTCTTCTTGATTGCGTTTGAATTTGCTGGTGTGTTTCATGGTCCATTGCTTTCATGCTGCAAGTAATTGCAAAAATTGTTGAATTTCCTATTGTAAGCCTTTCATGACCTCTTGCGCTTGACTCCAACAAATTATCTTAGTTGGCATCCAACCTTAGGGCTCTTTTAAGACTTGATACTGATAGGTGAGCAAGCACTACGCGTTTCAATTCTAAATGTTTACAATAGCTAATGAATAATATTTGATTTTTTAACTCTGAAACTAACTACAAGAGGCTTAAAAATAGAATTTAAAACAATTCAAGAACCATGTTTTTACCAAGAATTGCCACCATAAGAATAGTTTCAGGACTATCAATTTTAGCAAGCCAGATATTCTTAGTGATGCTTCAGGTTAAACAATACCTGATCCAATGTTACTGTTTGACCAAATGCTATTGCCCAATTCTGTCCTTCTGAAGCAACCTGCATCTATTGGCGAACCAGATTTTTTTGAAGGGTAATGGTCACCGGTTCCCATCCTGTGCCACATTGGTTGCCTTGTTTTAGGGCTTACAGCTTGGACCTTCTTGAAGCCTTGTTCCCCTCATTTAAAACCTATGAGAAAAGAAAAGGACAACCAGCATATCACTATGAGAAAAAATAAGTATAATTGACTGGATGCGTGACAAAACAAAGAATCTAGTGACTGGTTTAGCATTCTACACTGAATTCCTTTTTAATAGCAGTTCACAAATTCTTTTTCCTAGTTGCTTTTATTCCGAGCCCTTACTTCTGCTTGAATTTTCCTTGCAATAATTTGTTTCTGCGGTCACTAGAAACTCGTAAACACAATTCTTGATTGGATGTCTGTTTGCCCTTCTAGATTAGAAATCCAGCAGGTGTTTCTGGTTCGGAATCCTTTCCGTTCAATCAACGTGGTGGTTCCATTCTCCTTCCAAATTCGCAGGACCTTCAAGAACCTGCAAGAAAAAAGAGAAAAACACAAGTACATACAACTATTGTTGTAGATTTCCTTCAATTCTTTGAAGACAACTGCTGATCTTTTTTTGTTTTTGACTGGATGCCATTCTTGCTTATATTCTGTGTTGTAGTCTCAGGAGGGCTTCTTGCACTAGCCGAGCTTGGATAGCGACCAGATATAGTGTCTGTGCTCCGACATCGATTTTGGTGTGTCCCAGATTCCATAAACAACACCTCTTCTGTGCTTTTCTTCGAAAATGTGAAATCCTCCCCATATGAGAGCATAGTTCGAAAGAAAACTCAACCAAAAACTGGTTTCTTTTTAAGAGAAGGGTTATGAGTAGGCTAACACCCTAAATAACACACTCTTAATTGCAAAATTAACCTACTAAAGAAAGAGAAGTAAATTAGTCTATTAATTAAAATTAGTTAAAAAAGAACCTTATAGATTAATTGCAATTAATAACCATGTTAATGATAGTTGGGAGTGCTGCAGTATGCAAACATATTATTTTCTCAGAAGAGAAACAGTTTAGATTGAGTACTAATCCAATCAGGGGTATAGTGGTGAGATGTTGAGTGGTTGGACCTTGGGAAGATACTTGATTTTTTCTTAACTATGATCAAATGAGTGATTTGTCTTTTGACAATGCTGGTAAGGTGGAAAAGAGTTGATTATGAGCTCCTCCATGTTCAGCAACTCTACCACCACAACATTGATTACCTCAACCTTCTCGTGTGCTAGCAGCAAGAATGATTTGTTCATGATCAAAATAAGATAGATCAGTAAGCTTGGTGATCTCAAGAATGATTGAGAGCTGCGGTGATATTTGAAACAACAGAGTTAACCAATAATTGAATTCAAATAGATTAGAAACATGGATGGAGACTAGAGGTAAAATTGGCAACATGAAAATTTTTATTTTGGTTTTGCCAACTATTGGGATAATCGTAAATGAAAGATATTAAATAAGCTCATTCTCTTTTCCTTTCAAGGTACCATCATAATCTTAAAGGATTTGTTGCTCTTTTATGAATAGAAGATGCCGTAGTAGAGAGTATGGAATGGAAAAAAATCCAATTAGTACCTTTTTGGTAGTCTTCTAAAACATAACAGTGAAATCAATCATACGTTAGAAAATTTAGCATTTATGTGGAAATATTTCGATCATGTGCTCCTCAATGTCTAGCACTTCTCCCACCACAACATTGATTTCCCCAACAATCACTTGTGCTAATAACAAGGGTGATTTGTTTGTGAGCAAAAGAAGATAGAACAGTAAGCTTAGCGATCTTTAGAATGAAAGAGAGGTGTGGAAATATTTGGAACAATAGAGTTAACCAATAACTGAACTCAAATAAGCTAGAAAGATGGATGGAGACTGTAGGTAAAATTGGCTTGTTGAAAATTTTTATTTTTGTTTTGTCAATAAGTGAGATAATGATAAATGAAAGATATTGAATAAACTCATTCTATTTTACTTTCAAGGTACCGTCATAATCTTAAAATATTTGTTTCTCTGTTGTGAATAGAAGATACTATGGTAGAGTGTATCAACCTAAGGTGTCGTTGCCTTCAATGAATATGGAATGAAAAAAATCCAACATCTTTTTGTTAGTTTACTAAAACATAACAGTGAAATCAATAATCTCCACCACAACAATGATTACGCCAACGACCTCTTGTGCTATAAGTGATTAGTTTGTGATAAAAAAAGATAGAGCAACAAGCTTAGTGATTTTAAGAATGAGTGAGAGTGGCATGGAGATATTTGACACAATAGAGTCAACCATTAATTGAACTCACATAGATTACAGAGATCGATCGACACTAGAGAGGTAAAATTGGCAATGTAAAGATTTTTATTTTTGTTCTACCAACTAGTGGAATGTTGGATCATGGTAAATGAAAGATTTTAAAGAAACTCATTCTATTTGCCTTTCAAGGTACCATTGTAATCGTAAAAGATTTGTTGCTCTGTTGTGAATAGAAGATGCCATTGTAAAGAGTATCAACATGGGGTGTTGTTGTCTTCATAAAATATGAAATGAAAAAAATCTAATATATTTTTGGTTGTCTCCTAAAACATGAAGGTTAAATCAGTCTTATGGTAGACGTTGTTAAGCCTTTATGTGAGAATTACATAGCAAAATGTTTGCCACTTCTTAACTTTGATGGTATTTATTGGTTTGGGATCTAGAGAACCTTGATGAAGAAGTTTGTCACGAGTCAATAAGAAAACAAATGTCTCGGTGCTACGAGAGATAATTGGTGCCATTGATTGTAGAAGTTGTATTAATATTTGAGTTTTATTTTTGACAAAAGAGTAAAGGAAACCATCAAACAACATTATAATGAAGAGATGAGGGCAATGCTAAGTTAATTAACTTTAATGTATGACACATTAACTTAATTCCTCTATAATTTGCACACTCTAGTGCATCTACTTTATTCTTAAATGTAGGAATCAATACAACTCTGTCTCCACTCATCAGACATGTTTTTAGTTTTTAAAATAATATTACGAAGTTCAGTAAGCTGGGAAATTCTCACATCTTCTAAATATTTTCACACTTCTGTTGGAATGCCATCTAATCCTACTACTTTTCTACCTATCCATGTTGAATATTCTCATATACGAAAAATATTTTTTGATTTTTCATCTTTAATACCTTCTACTTGAACTAATTCTTTACTTTTTTATCTCTTTGTTTTTCTTGTTTATAAATATATCTTTCACCTTCTTTAATATTATTGTGTGCTAAAAACTCACAGTAGTAGAGTGATAATTAATGTCTTAGCGTTGAATGAAGATTCAACATACAAATTAAAAAAAAAAAGCTGGAAGTGACACTAAGATTTTTTTCGTGGAAAAACTCTAGAAGGAAAAAATCATAACGCCTAGCTCATTCAAAATAATCCAATGTCTGTAAGCACAAGGGTGTGCCATTCTTGCACGACAGTGAGAAACATGGTTAGAACGATGGTTGCACACATCATCTGTATTTTGCTTACAACGATTGCAAGCAATTGTCACCAGCAACATATGTTAGCTGCAGCAAGCGGTGTGTCACGACTCGAGCCAAAGTTTGGATTAATTAACCAAGACGAGAACGAACTGTCGGATGGTGGAAATAAGTTATTTACTTTTCTCTTTATATCACCAACAGTTTAATATTCAAATATACATGAAATAGCCACTAAAGAAAATAATTAAATTAACAAGTAGAAAATTGTACTTTTCTGGTTGCTGTTCTCGCATTCTATACACATTTGCTCATCTTCTATTATTCTTGTTTAAAAGCTCAAAACCGGAAAAAATACTAAAACAACATAATGAGTTATCTAAAGATAATTTAAGAGTAACCACATTCCTAAAGTATAACAACCCAAGAAAAATAATTCAATATGCATGTTGGTTTTCATATTTTCATAAGAATCTTGTAATATGCCAGTCTTTCATATTTGAATTAGAAATCTTATTATATATGCTAATGTTTGTCTTGATGAAATTTGTTAAATAAAAATACTCAAATCTTCTATATGCATTTCGCTACATTACTTTATACTCTTTACATATACATCTATTTCTGTGAGGATCACCGTCAACAAAATCT